TTGGTGGCAAAGGTCCTGGCATACCCGCTCAGAGTCTTCGGGGTCTAGTTGATGTGAAGCCGCGGACGCATATCCGAGCCAGCGTGCATGGATGAGGCAGCACGCGGTATGACGGTTGCATACGCTGGTGACAACAATGGAATCGAAACAAGGCCAACGGCAATTTGAGAATCTATTAGTTTTCTTCCAGTTGTTACACCGCTGAAAAAGTTCTTATGGGTGTGCACTACTTACAAGTGATGGAAAACGACCGTACGCGTGAATACGTGGCAAACCTCGAAATGTTCTTCCGTTTTGCTGCATTCACCTTTATTTTCATGCTTATTATCGGACAAGTGATGAAGTGATCCTTCCGCTGCACAATATCTAGAACACATTAAATACATCGAACACTGATACTTTTATAAATTTATTGTTGTAACATCTGGTATGAGAATAAATGTATCCCACTGTATGCTGTCGTAAATTATATCCAAGGTCGTATCTACTCCTACAACATCACCTTCGCGGCTTGAGATGAAGATCAGTTAGCCTGTTTCAGGGCTCTATAGGTCTGCAAGCGCGTTTTCAATTAAGAGGATGTGAACGAAAGAGCAGCAAGCCTTCCTTGAGTTCCATACTTTCTGCAAAAGATGGGAAGGACGTGCATCGAAGAACGGCTAGCCCGTTTCAAGTTTCCATACTCTTCGTAAGCGCGATTTCAGTGAGGAGGATGTGAAATGAAGAGCAGTTAGTCTGCTTCTCTGGCTCACTTAATAATTTTTCATAGGCAAATGTGGGCCCTATTCGAGTATGGCTAAAAGTTTTGTTTCCAGCGGTACTTCCTCCTCCTAAATACGAATATTGCACCCGCTTGGCAAGGAATTGCCTGGTGTTGTAGACTTGTAGACGTTGTAGACTGTAGACGCCAGCGCCAGAATACTCCTCGACCATAAAAATCGATAAAAACTTGCAAACGGGTGTTATTTGACATCCTGGTTACGAACATGGCATACATTCCTATCGCCGGCGCTGATGTAGGATACTACGATCGTCTACGCTCTGTTGACGCTAAGCCTGGCCCAAAAGAAATCACTCCTTCTTCTGGGCTCAGCTTTATCCGAGAAAAAGCAGAAAAGCAGTCATAAACGCTTCAAACCGTGCATTGGTTAGTTCTGCGCATTGTAGGAATATACGGCGAAGATACAAATAGCGAGGCAATGCAGAAACAAACAACGGCACAGCGAGAGAGTACACGAAACATGGAGACCCTACCGTTAACAGTGACATGCTGAAGGTGGAGACCATGAACGAGAGGCGGAGACGGTGAAGCGTAGCAGAGTCCTGGCGCTGTTGTCAAGCAATTTGAAGGCGAAGAACTGGGATATCTTCCGCGGTCGACGATTGCGCCACCTGTTCAGCGGATTCTATCTTTCCATGCGATCCCCTTCAGGTCCAGTTGCTCTTATTTGCGATATGACTTCGTAGAGGAAGCAAGAATCTCCGTTTCTCTTGATCAGGTCTCTTATGACTGATCAATCTTTTTCGTGATTCTTCTCTTATCATTACGCAGTTCATCATTTAAAAGCTGTTCACATTTCATTTCTGGCTTATACCAAATATGACTTTGTAAATATTTATGCGCTATAAAAATGTGAATTAGGGATAACACAAAAAATAATAAATATTTTTGATCGAACCGTGATCCTTCCTATCAAAAGTAATGAAACGATAAATTGCCATCGTTGCCAACTGATGACCTCTTTACGAAATCGTGTCCTCGACTGAAGAAATCCGGTAAAGTAAGGCGGGTGATCGTGACGAACACGGTCCTGAATCGAATTTCGTTTCTTTGAACATCTTTCAAGATGCAGCTTCACAATTTATTGGTTTTATTGCTTTTGATTTTAAACTGACGTCGGGTGCTTCGCTGGAGGCACAGAACGCGCAAAGCGTGCTACTATGTAGCGACGGAAATCCATTAGCAACTTGTAAGGCAGTCGGCGATTAGCTGATGCAGCACAGTTCCTTCCACGCGCAAGTGGTTCGGTTCTCAATCTCAGAGAGTATGGCGCTGTCGTGGATCACAAATAAGTGGCAAAACGAACAGAATTCCGCTACGAAGTCGCCAAGGAGGCTAATCTAGTTCCTTTCTCTTTTGCGCTCAGTGCTACTTGGCTGTATACTCGTGCAATGCTACAGATAGAGGTCTAACTGGATGCCTTTCTACAACTCTTTTGTTTGTTTTTCACCTCTGGTGGTTCAATTAGCGTAACCTTTTTGTTTCTGAGCTTCGCTACTCAACCAGTTCAAAATTGCTGACGGTATCATTAAGTATACAAGCACGATTTGAAACTAACCAACTATAAATCTTTCTTTTTACATTTCACTAGACTTTCGGCGCAGTTTGGCAGGGGCATAATGCTTTTTTGCAAGAGTCTCGGGCTTCGCCAGAATGAGACTCGTAAACCGGAACTACTGAAGCTGCGGAAGTGCAAAATGCCTCCCGTCGCCTAACAGCGCCTAGACTGCCCATATACGTTTTCACTTGCATACATAAACTATTAACTAGGTGGGCCACCTGCTGACTTAGAAGAAACAATAAAATTTTAAGGACTTCTGGTGATACTGTACGGCAACTCACTCCTGGGGGTGCCGATGGTACCAGATCCATCAGGAAATCCGATCAACGCAGCTGATGCTAGACTGACCGCTATAAATTCCCTATGTAGTGACATGAAATATTGTTTATCCTCTAAATCCCCTATCGCCAGAACAAAGCTCCCTCCCTCTTCAGTACCCATCGAAAATATAGCGATCCTC